TTTTGTCAAGATATAACACCATTAAGCATTCCTACAGCTATAGTCCGAATCCATCATAAAAAAACCAACATACAATCCTTCATTAAACCTACCTAGACTTGACATCTCCTATCAACACTACCCTCTAATTATTCAACTAATCTAATAAATAAACCATAACAAATCAAACTCATCAAACAAGCTGAATCCACCAAACAACAACAACCAATAAAATATCATTAATACAATTCATAATCATAATAACAAATCTAAAATCATAAGCCAAAGCTAAAGCTATTAAGTTTCCTTAAACCATTCAAGCAATAAGCCCAAGCCAAATCACTACTATATTCCTCAACTCTTCCATTTAACTAAAGATACAACATCTTGTAATTAATCAAGCATGGTCAAATAACATCAAGCACACACAAAGTCAAAACCATCATTTATCTACTAAACACCAAAACACAAGGTCAAGTGGTATTACCTAACTACCTAATCAAAAATCATCCATTAAACCGAAAAATCATATACATTTGCATGCAAAACCATGTATCCTAACCCTAGGTGAATCCTTTCACAAGACAAGTAATCCAAAATCAAGTTATATAAAGCAAAACATTATTTAGCTGAATCATCCAACCTCATCATCATCCATTAATTATCTTTATCAAATCAAGTAACCATGAATAAACTTTAACCATTCCTTTATCAATATAGGTTCTCAAGATCTAACCATGTTTGGATTGATTTGAGTTATTGTATTATTGCATCATTTATTTTATTAATATTAAAAAGTCATTCTATTAATTGTTATGTCTTACATTGAATAGAATTAGATAGAAATCTTTATGATATACATTTGTATTAGTGATTGATTAAAATATGTGAGACAGAGACTAATACACATAAATGATATCATTAAATATCCTAAGTCGTAGCATTATCAAGAATGAACATTGACTATACATGGTTAGACTTGTGAGTGCTATGTGTATGTATATGATAGTAGTAGGAGATCTCACACCTATCGGTTTGATGATGCCAAAGCAAGTGGTTAGGTGATTTATGTTAAAGAATATCACTTGACTTGACTTACGAAGAGAACTCATTTGGTTTAGTCTATGAGAATCACATATAAGATGGGTACAACTAGTTCTTAAACTTGTAGTCAACATAATTATCTCATTGGAGGATTTAAGTACTTTGAAAATCATTTCGATGGACCTAATGAGTGTATAATTAGCATGATTTTTATGCTCTAATACATTAAAATTTTTGATGTTTATTGTATTATATTATGTTATTTAAGAATAAGATAAAGATTTTATGTTTTGTAGGAAGATGAATTGAAGCAAGGAAACCCAAAACCAAAGAAAAAATGAGAAAAGTCACTAAAAGAGGCTTAAAAGAGTCATATGGCCATGTGACTTAGATGAAGAAACCGTATGGAATCTCAAACATGGCAAGCCACATGGGTAAAACCATTTCCACATGATTTATGTGCAATTCTATATGATCATATGACATTGAAGAAGAAGCTTTACATAGGCGACCAACTCGTTACATAATTTGTAGTACAAAACCATATGTTCGAGTGGCTAAGAAAGAGATGATCTACATAGGTAGAAGCTTAGACATATGATTTGTGAACAAATCCACACGATTGTGTGCAACCCGATCTCAAAGGTTCCAAACAAGTGTGATATCAAGTAGCAAACAATATGACTTTATATATCAAACTGTGTGACAATGTAATACCAACTCAAAAAGTGATATAACCCTATTTTTGGATATAAATAGCAAAGTTAAGGCATTATTCATTCTCTTTCCAGCTAGCTCTCCTAGCTACCACTATTCATAGGAATTCTCTCTTTGTATTATGAGCAACTAAACTCTATTCTTAGTTGAATTAAGTTGAAGCTTTTGGTTAATCGCTATGAGATTATTGATTTTTATTTCTAAACTTATCTCTAATGGGTATTTTAGGTTTTTCTACATGATTAGTTCATAGTTGAATGAATAATTTAATTAGAGTGCACACTAGTTATTTTTTCATATTGCTTATTGCTAGCTAAGTATTCAAGTTCGTATAATTACTTATCTAAATTTGCTCGTGGTAGTAACTAGCGGTTGATGATTAGTGATGTTTTCATTCAATTTCTTAGAGAACATAGAACTAGGTTACATCTTTTCTAGAACTTAGGAAGGTAGCTTAGCCTCACCTATCTTTCTCATCTTAATGTTGTTATTAGATTAAATCTATCTAGCACTTAGTAGGTTGTTCAATAGCTAGATAATTAATTACGTATCGTATATTAAGTTAACAACTAGGTAAGGAAAGATTGTTGTCAACATACATGTTGTTGTCTTATAGTGAATATTTAGGTTTAGGATAAGTTAATTATTTAATCGATGATTAATGACCAAACTAAATTGTACAATGAAGTTTAACCAAGGTTTTGTTTATTATTTTTATTTTGATTTATTTTAATTATTTTCAAGTATGTTAAATGTAAAACCCCTCATCTCACACGATAAAAACACTCTACCCAAAGAGACAATCAATTAAGCCTCTTCCCTTGTGGATTTGATTCTTACTTATCCTAATTACATAACCGTGATTAAAAGCTCAACAAGGAACATATTAATTACTAATTTATTGATGGTATGACACGTTATTAAATTTTAGCACCATTGTCAAGGAACTATGGTCGAAGTTTATTATTGTTGGATATTGTTAACCATTCTTATGTTTTTGTTATTGTTGGTATAGGACTAGTTCTCAACTAAGAGAGCTGATTTTTAATCCTAAACCGGAAAGAGAATTGAGCTAGTTAAGGAAGGAAGTAAGGTTGGTTTCAACTAGGAGAGCCGAATGCTATAAAGGAGTGAGTTCACCAGGAATAACCATAGTTATTGAGTTTTTATTGTCGAGAGATTCAAAAGGAGACGATATGGCTATAAACAAGGCAAATAGGACATTGAAAGAGCTAACCGATCCTCAATCAATAGCCATTATGTATTGAGTTTCGAGTCTAGAGGTGGATTCAAGTTGAAATCGGGACTAATACATCTACTTTCAAAAATTTGAGGTCTTTTCGGAAAAGATCCCCATAAACACTTAAAGAAATTTCATGTGGTCTCGCTCAACTATAAGACCACAAGGAATGTTGAAAGAGTAGATTAAGTTGAGAGCCTTTCCTTTTTCATTGGATGGGGATGCTAAGGATTGATTATATGATCTCCCTACAACATTAATAGACTTGTGGAACAGATTAAAGCAAGCATTCCTAATGAAGTACTTTCCTAATTCAAGGGCCACAAGCATCAAAAAGAAAATATGTGGGATTTTATAATTCACTAGAGATACTTTTTATAAATATTGGGAGTGGTTCAAGAAGTTGTGTTCCTACCGCCCGCACCATCGCATTTTCGATCAACTATTGATAGTTTATTTCTATAAGGGTTTGCTCCTAATGAAGAGGAGTATGATAGACGTAATAAGAGAAGGCACATTTATGTATAAGATGCATGATGCTACTAGGGCTTTGATATGTAATATGGCTGCCAACTCACAACAATTCGATACGAGGATTGATCATACACCAAAAAAGGTCAATGAAGTAAATGTTTTGAGTTTGGAGTAATAAATGTTGGATTTAACTTTCTTAGTGAGACGAGATAACACTTGGTAATCTACAAGCGATTAAGGCTTATAGAATTTGTTCTAACTAATCATACATCATTTCCTAGTAGGCTAGAGAAAACTAGGAAGAAAGAATTGAAAAAGAAAAAGAGAAGAAGACTTCGAGCTATTTAGCAAAATAGAGGTAAACATACTTCTATTGGAAGCCATAAAACAAGTGCCTATATACATCAAGTTCTTGAAGGACTTACGTATCAACAAAAGGAAGATGAACGTAACTAAAAAGGTAAGAATGAGAGGAGAGGTGTGGTGCTAGATCGTATATTAGCTAATATGCAAAAACCTAGTCATGAAGGGCATGACCTTTAGGTGTTCGCACCCAATGATACATTATTACCCCACGTGTGTATAAAACCTATATATGTGTTTTTTTGTATGAGTATGATATATGTATGAACAAATGTATGATGATTCAATACAAAATGGTTTTGAACCAATTGATTTGTGATATAAGATGAGTTTTCAATATTCATGTGTTTTCGAAACAAGCATTGCATTTTGACATGGATTTGAGAACGTCTTCCGTAATCTGTTTCCCTCCTTTAGTACATTATATAATGTCTACTTGCTGAGCTATGGATTACTCACCCTTCATTATTTCAATCTTGTAGGATATTGAGGAATCACTCATTGTTTCCTCTTGGCTATTTAATTTGAAGTCGGCACTTTTATCGTGCTTATTTTCTTGTAAATTTCTTAGAACCTATGTTTATTTTAAATTGTAATCTCAAATGCTCTATAGTTATAGCTGTGAGAAGTGTATTAGAATTTGATTAAGAATATTGATCTTTGATATTAAAATGAGAATAGCATGGAGTTTATGAGATGTATTAATGTTGAAGAAATGTCTATTAAGTTAAGATTAATGTGAAATAAAAATGATATTGATTTGAGAACTATAATATAAGTTCAATCATGATTTGATGTTTAGTTTAGTATCCGAGGCTTGCTTGGGTTCGGGTAGGCCTCACGATTCCCTCGAGTCCTTGTGCTAAACATGGCCCACTCTCAAGGTCGTGAGAATATTTCAATCAATGTCATGTACCAACTCTTGAGAAATCACCATATTCTCATGAATCAACCTTCCTTTCATAAAACCTGTTTGTTCTTGAGAAATGATGTCAAGGAGAATGACCCCTAGTCATTAGGAAATAACTTTGCTAAGAATCTTGTATGAGACATTGTAGAGACTAATCGGTCTTAAATCACTAAAATGCTTTACAGATTGCCATTTAGGAATTAAGACCAGGTTAGTCGCAATAATGGATTTCGGGATCTCACTACCTTGAAAGTCCCTTGCACTACCTTGCAGATATCCGAACCAAACACCTCCCAACAAGACTGATAAAGAAAGCAAAAAAACAATCAAATCCTGATGCACCAGCAAGGTCAATACTGAACAAAGCCTTTTTAATCTCCTCTTCGAAAGGTGAAGACATAAGCCAATCATTCTTAGAAGTAGATACCAAAGAAAGGATAATCTCAACCAGTGAGTCATTTGATGCCACTGTGGAGGAAGCAAATAACTCCAAGAAATGATGAACAGTAGCCTTTCCAATTTTGGAATCATCATCACAAAGCACTCCATCTAATAGCAAGCTGAAATAAGCACGAGAAGCTCTATGCCAGATGGACGCATGGAAGAAAGCATTATTCTTATTTCTCGTTTTTAGCCAGGAAACACACGCCTTCTCTTATAGGAATAACTCTTCCTGAAGTACTAAACTCGAGATCAGACTTGGCTCGCACTAGAGTGGCAAAAGCAATGTTTTAATTAATATCAATCAGCTCCTCTTCCAAAATCATCACCTTATCTTGTGCAGCATGGAGGCATTTATTAATGTCCCCAAGAACATCTCAATTCTAAGATCGCAAGATTGAACGTAGGGACTTCAAATTCAAATGCACAAAGGAGAACAAATTTGACGATTCATAACGTATCTAAGTCGACTTGATAACATGTAAAAAATCCATGTGAAACCCATATTCGCTTAAAGGAAAAATTGATCGGTAGAGCTGATGGAAATTTGAACGAAACAAGGAGTGGACAGTGGTCAAAAAGACTCTCGGAAGATGGGAGCAAGCAACAACTGAGAGAAACCCTACCCGACTGTCATTGATAAGCCAACAATCTAGGCGTTGACAAATCCTAGAGAGGTCGTGATGACCGTTACACCAAGTAAAAGAGCTTCCTGAGAACTCAACATCCAAAAACCCATTTCCTTGAATAAAGTCATTGAAATCACACATGGCCCAAGCATCCAGACTGTTTCCCCTACCTTCTTGGAAACCTTAGAGATGATATTAAAATCACCCCCGATCAGCCAAGGAGAAGAGGTACCCACCAAAGAAAGATAATTTCATAAGGAGATACGGGCTGACCTGTCACATGCAACATAGACTGCAGAAAACCGAAACTAAATATTCTGTGAAAGGAAGTTGACTTCCATAATAAGGGTCTAACTGCACACATTAATGAAAGAGGCAGAAAGTGAGTTCTTTCAAAGAAACTAGGTATGGGAGTTTGATGGATTGCCATGGAGATGATGCTCAAAGTTAAGAAATCACGCAACAAATTTCTGTATCAAGGGCATCAATTCCCCTAGCATTCCAAATGAGACTGGACATTATTATAAAGAGAGGAAAGAGCCATCGTGGTCAGTAGAAGACTTAGTGCTCTTTTGGAGCTAGACACCCCTGGTTTACTTTTTTTTTTTTTTCTCTCTCTTTTTCTTAAGGGCAGTAGGTAAAAATGTTTCACCAATAATAGAAGATTCCACCACGGGAACCCTAAAAGATTGTAGTAACCGGAATTCTACAAGTTTTAATTTGGCCATCTCTTCCATTGAATCTTATCCACCTTTGAAAGAGAACCAGCCTTGGGAGTTAAATCTACCTCCTCTTTCTCAAGCAAGACTTTGTCATAAAAAAATCGAGTACCCAATTAAGGAGTAGGTTCCAACGTGCTCAATATATCAAATTGACTACCACGAGAGCGAATAGGATTTGAATCCTTATCAATAGACCCTCACCATCTGACCTAGCCTCGGATTGAGAAGAAACAATCCCAATAGAGGACTCCGTGCCAACTGAATGGTGATCCACAAGATGAGAAGGATTATCCTTTGTCTGAAAATCGAAAGAGGGAGAAGTTTGATGCGAGCTCATGTCGGTACAATAAGGATTGCAACCTGCTGGGGGACGTACTACTTGAACTAAAGGAGAAGCAAAGGCCATAGTCTTCCCTTTCTTCGAAACAAACGAAGATAAATTATTGAAAATATCTTTAACTGGGACTACATTCTACTCCTTAGGAGGCATAACAGTAGGATAGGCTTTCTTCTTCCAAACGAGAGTGTCCTTGACATCTAATTTGGGTAATTTTTTAGAAGACGAAAGTCTGAGTAACTTGATTAGACGAAGCTGATCCTTTAGAAATACCTTGCTTTTTTTTTTTTTTTTACAATTCAACGCATAATGCCCCTAGATAAAGCAAAACGAACAAAACTTCAATTTACCGTCTGGAATAATTTTATTCCAAAAACCTTGGCTATGATCCATACCCATCGAAATCCGTACTAGATCTAGAATAGCCTCAGTTAAATTGATTTCCACACAAATGCGAGCGTGAATTACATGGGTGAGATTAGCAGTTCTATCATCAATCCAAAGGAACTTTCCGAAAGAGCTTACAATTTCACGAAGCATAGCCTCCGACAAAAAAAAAGAAACAGGAAAATAGGGTAGCCCAACCCACAGAGGAGCCACAGAGGACAAAGAGTTGTAATTAAAATTCTCATCCCACTTGAACAGATAGAATGGAGATGTTTGAATAATATGGGATTGGGATTCCAGGGACCATGCTTTAGCAAAATCAGCATTAGAGAAGGTCCTGATGATAGCATGTCGAGATCCCAAAAGGCCGATAATTGGCTCAATCTGTAAACCCCAATTCTGACGTATGTGATCTCGAATTGTATTTATAGGTGGTTTGATTCCAGCAAACTTTGCCATTACTGTATTGTCGAATAGCCATGAAGCATGTAGAAATTCCTCTGAAGAAAACTCAATGGCTGGGCATCCTTCATGAGAGTATTTAGGTCTATGAGGGATCAAAAGGGGCGCAACATTGCCATTGTTAAGAGGCTTGGAAGAAACAGTGCTGGACACCGCGCGAGTAAAGGACGAGGGGGTAGAGAGGGTGATAAGTTGGGGAAAGGGAGAAAGTCCGAGGAGGAAGATGTCACTGGGGGCGGCAAGGGGGCATCCCCCATGGGGTAGGAAGAAGCCAACCCTCACAGATGAAAACTTAGGAAGTTAGGAGCTAAATTCTTGAAGTTGAAAAGGAAGCGAGATTAAAAAAACTTAGTTTTCTAGTAGAACTACTAAGTAGCAAAACCCCTATTTTTTAATGTTTGATTACTGCCATAAAAAACCATATTTTCTCCGTCTCTCCACCTATTAATTTCAGTCCACCTTTCACAACCCTATGTTCTAGATCCTCATCTCTAATCAGATCACCATCTCTACATGCGCTCACTCATATCGGCATTGCTTTATCATATTTTCCATGGGTTGAGAAAGCTACCACTACTCCTAGTGCCCTAACGTCTCCCTTTCAATGTTTCAACCAGTAATATGACATTGCTACAAATCCATCTATGATGTAACTGGTATCCAGTGTTGCTCCCCAAATTTATGTCATCCCATGGTTGTGAGACATGGTAGAAACCTTCTACAAACTTGATTCTTGTTCCACAATCGGTCCAAGCTGCTACCAGCTAGGTTTTCTAGGAATTATTTTATTTTTAGGTTTTCTAGGTTTTTGGGAATTATTTATGCATTTTGGGTTTTTGAATTTGATCTTCTGAAATTTTTTTTATTTAAGAAATTGCTTGACTTTGTTTTTTAGAAAGAGATTTGAAAAGAATTTGAAACCAAACTTTACCTCTAATTGAGTGGAAGAGGAAAGGAAGATGCATTTAATCTATTTGATGAATTATTTGAGAAGAATTTGGTCTCTTGAAATTTTTTTATTTTTTATTAGTATCAAAGGCCACAAAGCATATTTTATATTATTTTCTATATAAATTAAAGGATCGAAGTATGAATTATGAATAATAATAATTTAAAATAATATAAAATATGTAAATAAAGGAATGTAAAAGCAATGTAACAATATAAATATGTAAACAAAATGCAAATGCAATGCGGATATGTAATTGAAACAATAATATAAAAATACAATATAAGCAATGTAAAATAATAATAATAATAATTAAAACATACAAGTAGCAGAGCTAGCCACAAGTAATGCAATGTAATTAAAAGAAAAATAAAAATGGGTAGCGAGAACCGACCACCGATTATTGTAGAAATGAAACTATAAATAAAATTTTTATTTAAAGAAAATACTTATAAGAAAGAGTTGTACAAAATCTCGATTATTGGAAGATATAAATTCTAAGGCTTTGTAGTGGTGATTGCTAAACACATGAGCTTCCTAGTCATCTAAACGAGAGATGGAGGTCTTATAGAGAGCTTTTATGATATGGAGAGCCTCCTTGTCTTGAACTTCCAAAAGGTTGCCCTTGAAAATAATGGTGTGGCTAATTTGTAGGCCTTTAGAGTGGCGTTGTAAAATAAGAACATTCTTCTTCAAAGTTGTGACGATTACTTTCTTGAAATGGAACTCGGTGATGTAAGGAGAGATGTGAGTGGAGGTGATGTAAATGTGACATCATGTTTTACTTTTTGATTTTTTTTTCATTAATTCATTTATTCATTATTTGATTAGGGGAAGGATCCCAAAACAGCTTATCTTCATTGTCATCTCCAAGATCAATTAAAGACTTAGAACTAGTTTTGCTTTGTGATTCATCAAAATGGCTCCTAAACAATTCCGACATGATAGAGAAATATTTTTCTTTTGTTTTGGCTTTGGCTAGGAGAGCACTAGCTTGAGACTTTTGGGCCAAGAAATTTGTGTGCATGTTAGTTGCATTTTCCTTTCCTTTACATTATGGCCTTTGTGAGGATAACCATGCCTTAACTGCTACTTTGTCTCGCTTTGCTAGCTTTTGTAAATATATCCCACCATTTTACCTTTAAGGTTCTAGTAATAATGGAAATAAGTATATTAGGATAATTGCTGATTGTACCATCTATCTTGAATGAATATTCCTAAGAAAAAAACCTAAGGGATGAAGAATTTTTTCATATATATATATAAAATAGAGAGAGAGGAAAAGCTTACTCTAATTTTGTAGGGATATATTTATCTTTGAAGGTTATATATCCCTCGACTTGTAGAATTTATGGAATGGCACCAAACCATTTTCGCTAAGAAATGAACTACAAGGGTAGATGGTATTAGGTTTTGGTATTGAAGAAAATTAGCCAAGAATGCATGTTTAGTTTGTTTTGGATAAGTATTGTACGAAGTTATTGGTAGTCCTAATGTGTGTAAGAAGGGTTAAAAGATAGTTTTTGTGAAAATCTAGCTTAGAATTTCTTTAGAGTATTAAGGTCTTAACCCCACTCCATTGGGTGGATAATGTTTTGGATGTTAGTAGTGAAGTAGCCTTGGGTAGTTTTGTCTTGGCTAATGTAAAATTTTTTGATTTTCAAGGATATTTTCTTGGTGAATATGAATTCAAAGTAGGTTTATGGCTTGGAGTGGTCCAATCGCTTGTAATGCCAGCTTTGAGCTACAAATAAAGGATCGACATCATAAAATCCATCTTTAGTTGTCAACTTTTTTTGATAAAAATCTTTTTCCATCTATTGAAATATTTGGAATAACATTTGTGGAAATCGATCTTAAAGGAAAACTTTTTGAAATACTATTTTGAGGAACATTTTGCAAATTTGTTTGAGAAAGTGGTTTTGGAAAACCTAGTTTGTGAAGAATAATTTTTTTTTTTTGGCAATTTGTTCAAGCAATTCAGAAATTGCTATGTTGTGTGGTTCGGAGGCCAAGGAGTCTTGGAGACCGAGCAAAACCTCTTGGTGTTATGGGATAGTAGCTACCCATTTTTGGACATCTTTATTCCTTTCTTATGGCTTTAAGTCGTGGCCTTGTCCTTCGGACCCTTCTTGAAATATTTGTTTCCAAGATCTAGTTTTATATGGAGGAGATATTGGTTTTTGTTGAGCTTTGTTGGGTCTATTTGCCTTTGTCAACTAAGGGTTTTTTAGGAATCATTGTGATCTATTACACAAAAATTCTCATGTGAGAAAATCATTAACAGAATTTGTTTCTCCCTTAATATACTCGATATCATAATTAAAAATATTTAAAGTAGCTTGCCATCCGGCAAATATATGTTTTGATGTAATGTTTTGAATATCTTTTTATAAAATATCTTTTGTAGATTTACAATCTATGTGTAAAAGAAATTTTTTATTTAGTAAATCATTTTGAAATTTTGTAATGTAGAGAATAATAGAAAGAATTTTTTTTTAACGGTTGAATAATTTTTTTCTCGTCATTCTAATGAGTTAATGTATGTTGAACTATATATTCTCTATTATCTTTTCTTTGGTTTAAGATTCCTTTATATCCTATGTGAAAAGCATCCGTTTCGACAATTTTAAATGTAAAAGGGTCAACTAAATGTAAACATGGGATATTTTGAACTCCGTTTTATAATTTTCCTAACAATATTAGTATGATATTCTATCCTAGGATAGGGTTTTTCTTTAATCTATCATGCAAGGGTTTGCATAAACGATTTAGATTTGGATAAAAATCTAACACATAATTTAGGCTTCCTAAAAATCTTTGTAATTGTGTTTTATTAGTGATTGTGCCGTAAAAAATTATTTATAAGAGATAAAGATCTTTCAATAGAAGTGATAGGTCATTGTGAGATATAATATCCTTAAAAACAAATTTTTGTTTGGAAAAGACAGATTTTGGATTTTGAAACAACTAATCCATTTTTCTTCGAGATATGGAGAAATGTATTTAGATGTTTGAAGTGTTGTTCTATTGAATAAGAAAATATAAAAACATCATCAATGTAAGTAATGCAAAATTGAGAATATGGTTTAAAAATATCATTCATTATTCTTTGAAATTCGGATGGGGCATTTTTTTATTCCGAATGGCATTAGATTCCATTCATACTATCTAAATGGGACGGTAAAAGTGCTTTTGTAACGATCTTGAGGTGTAATCTATATTTTCCAAAAACCTAATTTCATATCAAATTTAGAAAAAAATATGAGCATTGTGTAACCTTTGTAAAAGATCTTTTTGTTTGGGATAAGATATCCGATCCATTTTAAAGCTTTGTTTAAAGGTTTTTGATTTATGACTAGCCTTGGAATGCCTCGTTCTATTTCGGACTTCTTGTTGACATAAAAGGCAACATAGCTCCATAAGGATCAAGACTTTGAAATTAGTCCTTTTGTTAAAACTCTTGAATTTCTTTCTTTAAATGTTGTTCTAGGTCTTTGTTCATTTGAATTGGTCTTGCCTTTGTAGGAATTTGCATTTTACGAAAATCATGTTCATAAGGTAAATCAACCATATGTTGCTTTCTATAACAAAAGGCATTTGGTAGATCAGCACATATTTCCTTTTTAACATGGTTTTTGAATTCAAAAAAATTTTTGTTTTGGAATAGCATGCTATAATTGCTTTTCAATCCTATGAAAAGAAACATCTTTTTGTAAAATTTTTAGTTTCTTTTGTTTTCCTTAAACAAGACAATTTATTTGATTTTTATAAATAGAGTGGGCTTTAATAATATTAATATTTCTAGTTCTTGGTTTTACTATAAAGGGAAAAGCTAACTTATTGTTTTTAAATTTTATAGAAATATGATCATGGTTAGCCTTGTAAGGGGTGATCATGTTAATAAAAGGAGTTCCTAATATGACTCGTATGTTACATTTCATTTACGATAACAAATGAGGTATTAATGAGAAAACCATTATTAAGGATTTGTCCTTCGTCATTTATTTAATTTGTAAAGAAGAATTATGTATAGCTTTTAGAGGTTGTTTTGTATGTTTAAGAAATTGTTTGGGTATGATTTCATCTTTAATACAATTAAATTTACTCTTGTATCAAAAAGGGAAATAGTTTCTAATTTAAAATCATTTGGAAGACATAAAGTAATTCTTACCAAATATTTTTTGGCATAGAATTTTTTTTAAAATACATAAAAAAATCTTTTAAAAAATTTCTCTATCTTATAAAGTTCTAAGTTTTTCTCTTCACTTTCATTATTAGAATTCTTTTCAATTTTTGTATCAAATGATAGAAAATGTATTGTTTTAGATTTTTTTTTTTTTAGTTGGTGAAGTTCATGCTTTATGGTTTTAATTTCTTCTTGCGGATCTTGTATAGCGATGTTGTGGTTTTTTGTCTTTTTTGCTTTGTCAAGGATTATGGTAAAGTTGTAGGTGCTTGTTTTGAGGAAAGATTAGAAGAGGTGATTGTTGAAAACATTCTTGTAGCTTATTGAGGTATTATTTTTGAAGTTGTGGGTCTTGGATGTGGTTGATAATGTCAAGGAGAAATTTTTAATCTTTGGTGAGGACATTGATTTGTTTTTCGAGCTCTATCTCAAAATCCGAGGCAATTTCATTTATTCATTTTCGGAAAAATCACAAGGTGTTG